TTAAATATGTTTTTTGCTTTTTTGGGTCATCAGTTAATGTGAAATGTAAAAATGGTCATGAAGCAAAACCAATTGAGAACCACTCTTAGGCCTATAGAGCAGATATTGTGTGCTAGAACATGTTCATGTTAATAGTTCAGAAACTGTAACAAAGTATGCCAAATTGTCTGCTTGTATATTGGTTTTTACTAACCAAGATAAAGCTTAATGATTTCATCCACTTACAGTGCAGGAAATGCCTCTCTACAAGTGAAAGAGCACAAGAAAATGCTAAAGCATGAAGATATTATGCAAAAACCCTTTTCCAAAGCAGACAAGAAGCTATCGACACAAATAACCACCATTCGGGATACCAGAAAGTGGTAGAAGAAACAAACCCCTTGGGAGCAACAGTGTCTTAAAGCGATGAAGACGTGAAATTGCTAAATAAATGGAATTATATGTTGAGTATGTGTATGTAATAAGTAATAACGCAGAGTCAGAAACTAGAACTGCTATGTGGGACAATTATACACTTTAGCATAATTATGCAAATATATTTGACTATTGATCTATGTACAATATATGTTCTCGGACACAGGTGCTCCCCAGGTCAGGCGGTCCAACTTTGTAACTTGAACATAGCAACGACTGAAACAGTAACCCATCATCCACTTGCAAGAGCGTTAACTCTAAACCCACAGGAGATACGACTGAAACATTTACGCCACAGACAGAATCAAGGGCAACCACAGAGACAGAAATGAACATGCCTGTTCAAGAACTAGACGTCTGATTTGGGTAATCACAGACTACTAACGCTGCGTCAACAGCATAAAATAAAGAAAACAACAATCTCCATGTTACATTCTTCCTTAAGCATAGTTAACCTAATGAAACAACAAGAGAAAAGTATTACAAATGAGAAAAAAACAAGACATTTTTATAAAATACCTTTCACACGCAGACACTGTGCAAGACTTACATTGGCCTTGAGTTCAGTGTGTAAAACGTCATTTGATATATGTGAATCCAAAGGCCTGAAAGACAGCCAATAAGAAGAAGAATGTTATATATTAATAAAAGCAATCAACACATTCACGAAGAGCCAAAAATACCTGTATCTACATCACATGACACTAAACAAAGTAATAAAAGGTACCAAAAGTAATGCTATGCTTTTTGACCATATGTGATATACAGTGTTGGGGAAAGTTACTTTTAAAAGTAATGCATTACAATATTGCGTTACTCCATAAAAAAGTAACTAATTACGTTACTTAGTTACTTTTTATGGAAAGTAATGCGTTAGGTTACTTTTGCGTTACATTTTAAATCTGGACAGGGCTTGCTTGTTTGTTTTTAAAATAAAAAAGTTCTGTTTTTGGCAAATATAAAAGCCTTTTCACGCCAAATGTGAAATGAATAAGCCTCAGGCTGAAGGGAAAGTACATTTACGTCCGTACAGTAGAATGCAGAAGAAGACATTTCAACACACTTCAGCAATAAACAAAGACACACAGATGTTCGTCTAGAGTAATTTTTGGCTATTAGTACGCTTGAACTGGATCATCGAAGGTCAGAAGCAAATAGAATGAGATTAAATACATAAAGGATATTTGTGTCGTTTAACATTGAATTATTGCAGGTTTGCGTCATATTCTGAGTCGCATTATTTTTATTCATTTTGAGGAATACTGAACCTGTGTGCTTGTTTTTGTGTGAGTGAGATGAATTAATGCATATTCATATTTATTTTATAACTACAGTAACATCTTCTGAGTTGTCTCAACATGGCGACAGGAGAGCTGACAATCAATAAATTGGAAAAAGTAACTCTTATTTGAAAAAGTAACTCTTTTCAATTAAAAAGTACTGCGTTACTTTACTAGTTACTTGAAAAAAGTAATCTGATTACATAACTCGCGTTATCCCCGACACTGGTGATATATTAATACCATAGTACAAGCTAGTCGTTTTTTGTGGGTTGCTGGCAGTAATTCAACAATGTAACTAATTACCAGTAATGAATAATACAACATGTTCGCGCCATTTAAAAATGCTACAATGAATCTATTCAGACATTCCATTCCAGACTGAAACAAAGCGCGCTTAAGAAAAACACCGCGGGATCAACAGGTCAGCGAAGTTTAAATGATGGTTATTTATCCTCAATAGTGCGTAGATAGATATACTCTTAAAACTAAGAGCTCTTAGTTGCTTTATCTCAAACTGGAAGTAAACGACATGACAACAACAGCACTGACAGACAGATGTGTTTATAATAAAACAACAACGATCACATCTTTCGAAATGCGACTTCGTTTGAATATATAAGGGTATTATACGTAAAGCTTAAATAATACACTTTAAGGATGGTTTCGTCTTACCTTTTCCACCATCAAAGAGGTTTTTGTCCCTCTACATTTTTTTCGGAAAACACTCACAGGTTTGGAAAGTTGTACCACGTGACGCAGCCTATCCCTGCGCGTGACGTCAGAGACTTGAAGACTTTACCTGAAGAGGGAAATCAAATATTGACCTGCTGTCATAATTCATTAGAAACTTCTTCTTTCTTCTCACAGGCTGTAAGAGCAATGACGACACTGACTGAAACTGACTCTCAGGTTGAATACAGTATACAATATACTGGATAATATACAATATAGGAGCAGCTGAGTCCTTAACCATCTTCAAGAAACGACTAAAAACACATCTGTTCCACCTTTATTTGACCCTCTAACTCTAGCACTTTCTATTCTATTTTAATTCTACTTTATCTATATTTATCTTCTTTGTGTGTGTGTGTATATATATATGTATACATGGAAAGCAGTTTTCATTCAGTAAGTTGAGGAACTAAAGAAGCATTTAAAGGAAGAATATGTGAAAATAGGCTCAGTACCTGCTTTAAAACAAGGATGTAGTGTTGTTCAGCTGAAAACAAAACTATTTCTCGAGCTGAAGAGGAAGATTAGTTAGGCTACTTAATATGATCTGTAAAAATCATATGATATATGATTTTAAAATATGCTAAAACACACTATTATTGAGCTGCATAACTGATTTGCAAACTATTATGTCTTTTTATGGTCCACCTCATCTTCTCATGGCAATAATTAATGAATAGGAGCTCTTTCAGTAACAGCTGAATAATCCTAAGGACTAACTTTTAATTTGAAATATTCTGAGTATTTGTATTACTGTAGGAATAAACACACACACACACACACACACACACAAAACTGATTAAATATTAACATCCCAGGCCAGCTATAACAGGGAACAGACCTTTGGAGAGAACAGAATGGTATGAACATTATGAACAAATGTTCATATAAATGTTCATATAAAGTTGTCTGGTTTTTAATAATCTTCTCAAAACGTTAACACAAAAACATTTATCCTATACATTGTTCATGGAATGTTTGTTTGTTTGTTTGTTTTGAATGTTTTAGTTGGACGTTTGTCTAAGAATGAATAGAGAACATTCAAAATAACTGATTTGCAAACTATTATGTCTTTTTATGGTCCACCTCATCTTCTCATGGCAATAATTAATGAATAGGAGCTCTTTCAGTAACAGCTGAATAATCCTAAGGACTAACTTTTAATTTTAAATGTTCTGAGTATTTGTATTACTGTAGGAATAAACACACACACACACACAAAACTGATTAAATATTAACATCCCAGGCCAGCTATAACAGGGAACAGACCTTTGGAGAGAACAGAATGGTATGAACATTATAAACAAATGTTCATATGAATGTTCATATAAAGTTGTCTGGTTTTTAATAATCTTCTCAAAACGTTAACACAAAAACATTTATCCTATACATTGTTCATGGAATGTTTTTTTGTTTGTTTGTTTTGAATGTTTTAGTTGGACGTTTGTCTAAGAATGAATAGAGAACATTCAAAAGTAACGTTCTCGTAAAGTTTGCAAAATGATGAAATGTTCCCTTAACATTAGCATAACCAATAAAAACAAAACTGTTTGTGAATGACTTAATGGTCTTTACAATGGTACGCACTGTATAAAGGCTCACGTAAGATCACGTGATTTTAGCTAAGTCACAACTTTCAAAACTGTTGTATGCAGCTTTTGTCTCCTGGAAGTTTTTTTTTCTTCTTCCTCTCCGAACAGACGGAGTTGTTAAACAGCAATACAGTCCATTGAACACGCTGTACTTCAGTCCCTTACTGACTCTCTTTTTTTAAATTTTTATTCCTGTCGAAAATTAAAGGGGTCATATGATGCGATTTCAATTGTTCCTTTCTCTTTGGTGTTACAAGCTCTTGGTGCATAAAGAAGATCTGTAAAGTTGCAAAGACTAAAGTCTCAAATCCAGAGAGATATTCTTTATAAAAGTTAAGAGTCAGCCACGCCCTCCTAAAACGGCTCATTCTAACACACCCCCACATGTCTATGTCAC